CAGAGAACAACACAAACATAACCTCATCATCAATCATCAGCCAAAGGACTTCAAAATGACGTCACTGTATAAAGATGTATATTGTACTATGGAGGAGGCAGCATTTAGCTGTAGCCTCCATAAAACCACAGCTGATCTGGAGAACTTTGTCCACCACCTGCAGCTGATGCAGCGCTTCCTGTAAGTCACGTGACTATAATCAGAGTACAGGAGAGTAACTGAGTACATTTGCTCTTCATGATTGTGGTGATTTTCTTCTTTTTTACTGTACACATGAAGTCTGACATCTTTTGGTTCTTCAGATGATAAAACACATTGAATATGATGTGTTTTCACAGATTAAACCAGCCAACAGCAAATCAAATACTTCACACTAACTCCACGTGAAATTCATCTGTAACCAGTAAAGTGAAGCTTTAATCCTGGTTCAGATGGATTAAAATTGATTAACATGAACAATCTGTTAATCCACTGAAGCTCACAGACTTCATCAACCTGTCAGATTATCTAAAAGACTGAAAGACGTCATTTTAAACACTTACTGTTGTTCTGAAGGATCTGAAACCCTCAAACAAAAAAAAATCTAAATCAAAATTTAAAATGTAACAATTTAACAGTCTGCACATAAAGTGACCTCTGCACCAAACAGCAACAGATCAAGCTAAGCCACACAATCGTGTGATACAACACACCCTTCACCTGTGTGTCACATCTCCCCCTCTAAGTACACACACTTGACAGTTACCACACATACAGAGTAATAAAGAAGTGACAGTGACAGGTAGTGAACTTGTTTCAATTAAACAGGTAGATGTGCAGAAACAACTTCCCACTCCACTCACTTTATGAAATTAGATCAGCTCAGTCTCAGTCGTTGTGTCCGTGGGCAAGACACTTCACACTTCAATGACACAATATGTCACTTCTGTCAGTCTGGGCAGCTGTGACTACCACTGTAACTTGTCTCCACCAGTGTGTGAATGGGAGAGTGAATGAATACTGGAATTGTAAAGCGCTTTGAGGGTCTCGAAAAGCGCTTTACAATTACTATATAAATGCAAACCATTATTATAAACCTGATGTAAGGTATTATTCCAAATTATACCTCAAACTAAGGGATAAATCCGGCTGATCTTGCACTCAAGACACAGAAACAAAAATAGTAATGAAAAAAATAATCTCTAAACACTTCTAATCTCTAATCTCTTGTTTAAACACATCTGCTCTACAGAAAGTCTCTGAATAATAACAATTACTATTATTCAAAAATTAAAAATATAAAAACATAAAATACAGCAAGTTGAAAGCTCAAAGTCTGTGGTTAAAGTGACCTCCTTAGCAAACAGCCACAGATCAAACTAACCCGTAGATCCTTGTGTGTCATCCTGTTTTACACAACACACCCATCACCTGTGTGACACCAACATCTCCACCTCTAAGTAAACATATGTGAGGAATTGTTGCCACATATACAAAGTAACAGGAAGAGAACATGTTTCAATTAAACAGGTAGATGTGCAGAGACAAACTCGCAACACTCTGTTTATGAATTTAGATCAGCTCAGTCTAATGAATAAAAGTAAAAGGTTTTGATTTCCTCTATGACATGTTTGGACACTGTCAATATAAAATTGTACTTAGTATAAGCTTTTTTAATGATATAAGTTTACATGTCATAGAATACTGCATGATAACCTTTTTATGACTTAGACTGATTGTTCACTATAAGACTTGTTCTGTTGTTTTCTTATCAGTTTCTTCCCACAGCGATAGTAAGAGCTGAACAAGCAGTTTCACTCCCTACCAGGAAGAGGAGCTGCTTCCCACAAACTGCACACACACACACACATACACAACCACATACGCTCACGTATCAACATTCCACTGAACAAATGTATTCATTGTGTATAAATAAAGACAAGTGCAAGATCAGAGCGCGTACATCACAGGGCCCCCACTCTGGTGTGAGCGCTCTGTGACCGCCCTTGCAAGTAAAAACTGCAGCGTGTGTGTCTCCACTCTCTGACTCTCAGCTGAAGAAGTGTCTTTAGAATAAATCTCTTGACAGACACGAATAAAACAAGAACTTGAATTTGCAGGTAAAACTACACAAACTTTTGAAAAGCTTTAACTAAAAGGTGAAAAGCAGACATTATAAATAAACTTGATCGCATACTCAAAGCAGCAATAAAACTATCGCACCTGATTGTGTTTTTACCTTCATCTGAACAAAGTCCCTCCCGATCTCTTCAGAATGAGTTTATTTTTGTGTAAAAATCTTAATAAAGCTACAAATTTGTTGAAAAGTAAAAGAAGGAAACCACAGGAGCACATTTCTTCCCTCATGAATCCCTCTCTTTGAAATGGTTTAAAAATAATTTAATGATTTAATTAATCACTGGATCATCGGCAGATCTGTGTTTGTGGAACAGAGTTGTATGTGTGTTTGTGTCAACATCCTGGTCAAACTGGTTAAGTAGTGTTTGTAGTTGTTACAGACTGACCCTGTGAATCAATCAATGACATGACCTGTGTGTACAGTAAAGTACATTTAACAAACCTGACGTTTCTCTCCTTGTTGTTTTGTGTTCATGAAATGTGTGACTGCGAAGTGATTTCATATCAAAGCTTCTTATTAGAGCTAACATAGCTATGGTCAGCTCAGCCTGTCTCATCAATCAAAACAGTTTGAAACATCTTATTATAAAGCTTTATTCAGTTATTTGGTCCTAAACATGGTTTATGTATTATCATTATGGTATAGCACTGCAATCCAGCAGACACTGTTTACCAGTTTGACTTTTCTTTGTTTTTAAATGAAACACAATCTCACCCGTAACGAAAAATATTTACTCAAGACAGACTAAAACAGAAAATTCATTAGCACATTTGTCTTTAAGTCCTTTTTTTTTTTTTTTTTTTTACAAAAAATAAAGAAATAGATTTCATACCTCCAGCTTCTTTGAATGTGAACGTTTGCTTTACTCCCTGTTTCTTCCTAAGATGGTTTCAGAGACAGAAACCTGACGTGAAAGACACACATGATGAATCAGCAGCAGACAGAGATGTTCCTCTTGGTTTGACTGAGAGACGAATAAGAGGAACCATTACATGTTCACTTCCCTTCTCTGTGCTGGAAGTGAGCTATCATAACATGTTTGTGGTCATCAAACAGTCAGTAAACAATAAAGCAGAATGTTTGTGGGATTCAGTGGATTTTCACACACTTGTAGTGAAGACTGTAGAAAGAAGTGACTATGAGGGTGTTGCAGCACCCTCTCCTGGATGGTAGAGGTGCACGACTGTCTGTAATCATACATGAAAACATCCATGTTGTTTCTAAAATGCTGTCATTTACAGAAATGGGCATGGTGAAATCCTACTGCCACTGTGAGGTGACACAGGGGGATTTCAGTGTATACTTCTCTCATGAAGAGGGGACACAATCTTGACAGTGAAACACAAAACACAATTTAAATAACAATTGAGAGCTGAGAGAAAATTGAAAAACAATTCCCTGTAACACCACACATGTCATGTAGGAGTCAAAGGTTTCTGAAAAGTAGTTGTGTTGTTTTTCAGATGACTGATATTATGACAAATTATTCAACCTCAGACAGTTTGTCTGAGTGATGTTGAGCAGCTTTTAAAACATGCTGCAGCTCATCTTAAATACCTTGTGAATATCTACATGACTTTCTGAACCTGCTGGCAGAAAGCACACACATCTTCAAAATGCGGCATGTGCTTTCTGTCAAACACAAATACTAGTTTGGGTATTTGTACTAGTACTGGGTTTGTTTCAGTGTGTTCAAGTGTGATTCCTCTTCCTTTTTTTTCTCTTTTTTTTGGTATGTGTACACGGACGGGGAAGGAAAGTGATATCTGATCAAGCTGATACATGATGTTTGGGTCAAACAGTGAGATGTGTTCTGAGGGTAACGATGTAAAAATAATCTTAAAGGTCTCGGACATTGGATACTTACAGTTAAGGGACTACATTACAAAGCACAAAGACTGGGACAATATTAGAAGAGAACCAATCGGGTTGGAAAACCATTTTATAAAACTGCTTGAAAAGTCAGGTACATTGAATAACCAAGTGTCTTTGGTCTACCAGAAACTGCTGTTTGACATGTCTGATAATACCTATCATATAAAACAACAATGGGAAATGGAACTCAATATAATGTTGGATGATGTCACATGGGAGAGTCTGCTGTGGCTGCCATAGAGGGGTGGGTAGTCAAATGTAGAAGGAATTTGACTGGAAGGTTAAATTAAGGTTTTTTAGAACTCCACTGAAAACCTTTCTATCCAAAAGTAGTGTCAGTGATAAGTGTTGGAGAGGGTGTGGGTCTGGGGGGGACCAGATAGATATTTTTTGGGACTGTGTTTACATACAACAGTACTGGATGGATGTCAAGAACATTATACAAAACATATTGTCAGTCAACCTCCCAATGGATCCTCTGATCTTTTTGTTGGATATCTTTCCTGATGGTTTCTCCTATGAACAGCACTTTCTCCTGCATCTCCTCCTCATGACTGCAAGAAAAATGATAACAATTCACTGGCTCAAACCAGAAACACCCATAGTTGCCCAGTGGCTTCTGAAAACTAGACATGTCTATACGATGGAACGGATAACAGCTCAACTACAACTAAAAGTGCCAACCTTTGAGAAAAAATGGAGACTAATTATAAAATATTATGAAAGGACACTCAAGCCTTAACATTGTTACATCTGTGCTTAGGTATTGGTATGTATGTATGTATGTGTGTATATGTATATGTGTATGTTCTGTCACCATGTAACCGTGTTCTGTTTTAAATAGATTTTCCCTGAGAAAGTTACTCTTTAGTGCCCCTTCTGGCATGACCTGGTGTAACATGTGCAAATCTGTCTCTGTTCTATGATGTCATCAGAAAGTGCATGCTATTGTTTGGGGAAAAGACTTCTCCTGTTCTCTGCTGTAGTGGCAATTGTCTCCCTTAAGATGGTCTTTAAGGGCATTGTCGGTATGTAATTCTGTTCCATCCTTACTAATGAACAAATCTACTTGAAGAAATGTGATTGCAGTGTTTACTTAATAGAAATGTTTGTAAAGAGAGGATTCGCTAACGTTTTTGGCTAGACAAGTCATTTGTACTGTTTTTGTGTATTTGTCCTCATCTATGATTTCTAAGAGCATTTTATGTTATTTCTCAGTTTTACCCTACTTCAACTGGCCTAAGTAAAGGGAGTGAAGTCAAACCCTCTTGTCTGCGTGGTCATTTTGAAGAGGAGTTTAGTCTGAATGTCGACTCTAGCAAGGCGTTAGAGGCAGAGGACATTACAGTGTATATATGTTTTTTTTCTTTTAAATTACGTTTTTGAATAACCCCCACCATTATATGCAGCAGATTTGGTCTCAGGTCACGTTGTTGATGTGAATTGCCTTGTTATTTTTGGCAATAAAAGTAAAAAAAAAAGAAAAAAGAAAAAGGTCTCGGACATTTCAAACAAGGTATTGTTTTCTCGCATCTTAAATCACTCAAACCGGACATAATATTCATTCGGGAAACTCATTTAAATATTAATAACCAACGTAGATTAAGAGCAAATTGGATATCTCAAGTGTATCAAGCTCCTTTTACTAGTAAGGCCAGAGGAGTTGCGATTCTCTTTAAAAAGAATGTTTCATTTTGTTCAGACTCTGCGATTGCTGACCCATATGGCAGATAGTCACCGGCCAAATTAACTTACTACCGTTAACTTTGCTTAACATTTATGCTCCAAATGTTGACAACCCTGATTTTTTTTAAGTTTTCAACTTAATACCAACAGTTGCCTCAAACTTTATTAATGGTGGTGACTTTAATTGCTACCTTGACACTTTTCTAGACAGACTATCCACAAAAGCCCCTCCGAATATTATGTCAGTGCAGACTCTGAATGACTTAATCAATACTAGAAATTTAATTGATATCTGGCGCTTACAACACCTCACTGAGAGGGCCTATTCATTTTTCTCTCACGTCCACAAAACTTATACTAGAATTGATTATTTCTTGATATCCTCCAAGCTTCTGCTTTTGGTTGTTGATTCAAATAACCTTAATATTGTAATATCTGATCATAGCCCGGTTTCAATGATCTTCAAAAACATTTTGACCAAGAATTATAATTGGCATTTTAACCCTTCCCTTCTGAACGATCAAGACTTCATTAAATATCTTATATTGATATTTAAATATTGATATGGGGAAGTTGGGGAAGTTTCAGATTCTATTCTATGGGAGACTTTTAAGGTCGTAATGAGAGGTCACATTATTTCCTTTGAATCTTCCAAGAAAAAAAATATTGGAAAAAAGGCTCAAAGAAATAGAAACAAACAAAATCTTGAAATTAAGGTATGAATACAACACAATTTTAGGTAAGCGAATTAGCAATCTTCTTTTGAAGCTCTAACAGAGACATTTTCAATTTGGAGATAAACCAGAAAAACTGTTGGCAAACCAACTTAGAGGAGAACAAGCAAAACGAGCAATCCAAAAAGTGAAAATGAAATCCGGTAAAGTAAGCACCAATCCAAAGGAAATTAACACTTGTTTCATCAAATTCTACAAAAACTAGTCTAGTAAAATTAAACCTTCTCAAAGCGATTTCTACAATTTCTTCGACCAATTATCTATTCCCCAACTAGATGGAGCTCTGAGAGACAAAATTGATTCCCCTATCTCTGAAAACCATCTTTTAAGAGAAATTCAGACCCTACTACTCGGAGGACAGCTGGCCCAGATGGCTTTGGTAATGAATTCTATAAAGCCTTTCAAAACAAAATTACTCCTCTCATGCTTAGGATGGTAAATGACTCCGTTAAAAATAAAAGGTTACCAACTTCACTTTATGATTGAAATATCTAATTGCTTGGCCTTAGTCCATGGGGCCCGGCCGGAAACAGCCCGAAGAGGAGACATGGGCCCATCCTCCCGCAGGCCCACCACCCGCAGGAGGCGCCATAGGGGTCGGGTGCATTGTGTGC